CTAGCTGTGGGTCTGTATAGAAACGCAGATTTGGAAAATATACGCCGTAGTAATGTCTATACACATCTGAAATGTAACGATGAATGGGTATGGAAGAGAAGTGTGTGTGTGTATTTTTTGTTTGTTTGTTTGTTTGTTTTGTGAAAACAGTGGCTAAATACGTCCCCCTTAATATCTGACAGTAGCTGAGCTCTTTGACTTCCAAGGCAGTATCATAAGTGAACACGTGGAAAAGTGTCCCTGGTTGGAGAGTGTCCTAACTTGAACTTATCTAGGTACAGTGAAAACCTCAAGCATGAGGCTTGGTAAAAATACTTAGGAAAATGAAAGGGATAATAACAAGAGAAAGTGAAGAAAAATTTTCTCGTAATTTTATTTGTTTTAAGGCTCAAGGCTGAGATAGTGGCAGGTAATTTCCCTAAGAGCTGTTTCTCCCACAGTTTTCTTCATTCACCTTGTCATCCCTCCAAAAGCCACTTTGGCCTTTTATTGATCTCGACATTTAAAGCATAAATATTTGATTTTATTAAGAGGTGCTCATGTGCTGAAATTATCCAGGACCCTTAAATAAGTCTGATGTGACCCCGCAGGCAAGAAGCTTCTTCAGTTTTATTCTGTATCTATTTTCCAGTTACTCTGTTTCCTCAAATTTGCTCAAGTAGAATGGAATAAAACATTAAAGTTTCATTATCATGGAGAATACTCTTAAATTTTTTTGTCATTCAGAGCAGGTAAACCAATTCTGCATTATTGTAACCCTAAGAAGCTATGCTGAGGGTATAGATTGAGATTTGACTAAGATTTATTAAGCACCATCCAAGTGCCAGACATTTTACTAAGGGATTTTAATAAACTCTGTTTCAATACATTATATTGTAATATTGTAATATATATGTATTTAATCATCACATAAAGCTTGTGAGGTAGCAGCCTTTCTTCCAGGGGTGATGTTTTGCTTCCTCCAGGTCATAAAGCTAGCAGTAACCCTGGCTAGCATCTATTTTAGGTCCACTTGCTCCTGGAGAACCCGCTAACAATTTTGCCTACATTGTCTTATTTCATCCTGCGCAGTAACCTTATGAGGCAGATTGTTATAAATCCAATTTCACAAGTGAAAGACCCATGGTCAATTGCAGTGAGGTGGCGCTGTGCCCCAGAAGGTGCTGGAGACAGACAGATTTCCAGCCCAGTTTTCTTAGCAGTCCTTTCTTTAACTTGTGATGCGGTGGTACGTCAAAGCAGACAGATTGGCCTCTATGGCCATTTGTTGTTGTTCCTAGTTGACCTTGGAAATTTTGTATATATTCCTGATGTTACAGTTCCTGCTAATGTGTAAAGCAGAGGAGTCCTAGGGTAGTTTCTGGTACCAGGTGCTAGAGGATAAAGAAGGACAACCTTAAAGGTGCCATTGGTAGTCCCTGTGCAGGAGGTGTACTTACAGTGACATATGGATGTCATCTTTTTTTCCTGCTCATAGCTCCTGTAACCTGTTCTTTCTGTAGATCTCTCATTAAACATAGAAGGAATAAAAAAAAAGCTAGCTTAAGACAGGAACACTCCCAGGCACATTTTTAAATGTCCATTACAATAGTGTTCAATCCCCTGTTCCAGAAGATCAGCTAGAATTTGATACATAGGAAGGAAGATCAAGAAGTGAAAATCGAAGGAACATAAAATGAGCAACCTGTGAAAACTCCTTGAAACCAAGCGTGGGACACAGACTATCCCAGGGACTATTGGCTAATTCTACATTAGCCAGATTCCTACGGCAAAGACCTTCTTTGCTTCATAAGCCATGGTGCTGAGCAAACAGTGAAGACAGAGTGCAGTGTGTTTATGCTTTTCTATTTGACCTTTTCAGAATCCTAATTAAGGGTATTACAAATTCTATACACGTAGATCATTCTGCACTTGGTTGCCAAAATACATGGATCCAAATGGTGACCAATGGCTCTCATAGACCAAACTCCCAATTGGAATTGATCATTTCCTCTTAGGTGAGCTTAAAGAAATTTACTTTTAATCTTACTTATGGACTCTACTATATTCTGCCAATATAGATTTATGGAAGGGCTTGTTTATATATTTACTTTGAAGTTCTCTTGAAGCAGCTACATACTAAAGTAAGTAGGAAAGGCATATACTTTTTATGGTCCTTTTGATACAGTCTTCAGGATTTTTAGAGCCAGTATGCTTTAATAGCTTGTCTCAGAGGAAAACTGGAAAGATAAAAGGAATTTAGATGAGCAGAATTGATGTGTATCTAGAACTTGAAAGTAGTTACTGAAAGTTCAGATTGGAATCCTATTTTAGTTCACTTGTGGCTTTATTATCTGTCATTCATTTCACAAAAAAGGAGGCTTGGATATCTTTCTCACTCCTACTCCTTGTTTCTATGCAGAGAAGTATGTTGCAAAAAGACCTTCACTCTCTTATGATAGGAAGCTCATAAAATTGCATTAAAGAATCTTGAATCTTGCTCAGGAAGAACAGCTTCCCAGACCCCATCTAAATAGTGCCTGTGATTTCATATACGCTGTTTTCTTTCAAAAGCTCAGACCAGAAGACATTTCAGCTCTAAGTTGAGATTCACGTCCCCTAACATTGGAGAGTATTATCCCACCTTGAATTCTGTGGCTGTAAAAATCAAATGCTGGGTAGGAAAAGAAAAAATGCCAAACGAGATTTTGGTACCGATTCTATTTCTGGTTGACTCTGCAATCCTGGGCAAGAAACCTGGCACATCTTGCTTCGGAGTCTAGCGAACATAAAGTGGGCATAAAAATATATCTGTTACATGCTTTCAGGTGCTTTTAAGTGAGCAAATGGAATAATGAAATGTACTTTAGGCTTTTTTAAACAAAATCATAATAAAAATCTAGGTTTTGTTCATGAAAAGCTACTAACATCTTCTAACTTCTGGGAATGGATTCACGTTTGGCTTTATTGTTTGGGTCAAGCATCCTTTAGCCTATTTTGATTCTTTCCATGACCTGCAATGAAATGGAATAAGAAAATAGTTTGCGAGTGCTGTGAAGTGTGTAAACCTGGCAATTCACAGACCTGTACCCCTGGGGATAACAATATATTATATGTTTATAAAAAATAAAATTAAAAAAAAAAAAGAAAATAGTTTGCACATGTGTCTGTTTTACTGAGGAAGTAGGGATGCCCTAGCAGCAGTGAGCTTTAGATGAAGAGTTTAACAATTCCAGAACCTTCAGAGATCAGAATGGATTCCAAAATTGAGAAAAACTAGGGCTCAACTAAATATTTTCTCCCTTTTATTTGTTTTCCTTTTCTCACTTCTTTTGTCTTTATCTGCTCTCCTTTGTTTCAAGTCATTAAATGGTTGGCCCCTATTCTAGCCTTATTTATTGACAGTAAACAAGTATTTTTTCAACTTCATTGAAGTAAAATTGACAAAATTGTTATGTATTTAAAGTGTACAAAATGATGATTTCATATATGTATACATTAGGAAAGGATTGCCACCAACTTAATTAATATATCCATCACCACACATTTTATTCTATTTTATTTTATGCTATTTTATTTTATGAACACTTAAGGCCTACGCTCAGCAAATTTCAGTACTGTAATACAGTATCAACAGCTGTAGTTACCATGTTATACATTAGATCCTCAGATCTTGTCCTCTTATAACTGAAATTTTGTACCCTTTTACTAACTTTTTCCTATCCACCCCCCCCAACTCCCTGGCAACCACCATTTTACTCTATTTCTATGAGTTGTACTTATTTTTTATTTTATTATATTTTCTAGATTCTACCTATAAGTGACACCATATGGTACTTGTCTTTGTCTGGCTTATTTCAGTTAACGTAATGCCCTCATCCATATTTTTGCAAATGGCAGAATTTTCCTTTTTTCAAGGTTAAATAATAAATATTTTTGAGTTCCTGTTGGTTACATGCCAGACTGGGCAGATTCTGGGGAAAAGCGTGAACAAGACTCGCCCTTTCTGTTCTTTCCTCATGGATCTTATATTCTAAATTTCAACAGTCAAATAAATCTATTTGTTTCTTCTTAAGAGCTTATGTAGGTAGGACCTAAAACATGGCAAGCTAAAAGGATAGTCGGGGGCTTGGAGGCTGGAGGGGGCAGACAGAAGGGGACCAAATAACAATTAGCAAATTGGATGTTAAATATGACACTCAGAGACAAAAACTTAAGTGTCATTTTACAGTATCTCCACAAATTGCAGCTATACTCTGAGTAACAGATTATTTTATAACATATAAAACTTCATGTAGTAGGAAAAAGCTTTATCTGATAAATCACGTTTTAATTATGGAATTCCTTTTAAATACTGTTTTAATTTTAGACTCATAGATTTTAAAAAATGAAATATTTCCAAGAGGAGAGTTGGTTTAATAAATTAGATTCCTCCAAAAGTAAACTCTTAATAAATCTATAAATCATGCCAAATTATATGAAAATAATTTTTTAAAAATTAGATAAATATTTATTCCCATTATATTTATATGATTTATTATGTATTTGAAAGATTTTTTGTTTTACCACATTTTGCAAAGATACACTTTCTCATATGCAATCCAAAGTTCCAAAAATCCCAAATTAGTTAATTAGTGAAATGCCACTTTGTGAGATTTGACTACATGAAGCCAGTGATCAAATTACTCACTTACTAATATCCATTTATTTCACTAGGCAAAATATATTGAGTGCCTTTTAGTAATGGTGAAGTGTTTTCCTTTTTCTGTTTTTGAAACCTGAAACAAATTGCAATACCATTTTCTTAAATATTTGTCATTGTTTCTTATCAAATTAAAATACAAGAGATGTGTCCATATCTTTGGTAATTTTTATTTAGGTGAGAGGTAACTACAGTTACAATAAAGAAAAATTCATTGGGCTTTATTTTATTGTTGAAGACATTTTAATGCCTCCTTAGTTTGCAAAATTAAGGTCATTTTTATTTTGTTTTTATGGTAAAAATTGTCTTTTTCTTACAGTTAATATCTCAATATCTAATGACACTACATTGGCCCCAGAGGATTTGCCAACTGTTTCTTCTTCTGACATGGTAAGTGTCTTAATATTTCAAGTCATTTGCATATTGTATACTCTAATTATAATATTCATAACATGATGTCTCCTGCCCTTTCCACAATCTGAGCTTGAATACAACTTCACAAATCAGTGATTGTGGAGGGACAGAAAGAAACACTTTTCTTGCTTTAGTCAGCTTTTTTTTTTTTTTCCGTTTTAACTCAAGTGAACATTTACCCCTACAACATGCTTTTTAAACCTTCTTAGGAATTTAACTACTATATCCATTCATTGTCACCTTGAGGTATTTTCACAGGGGAAAGTGAGGGCAGTCGCAACGTGAGAGCATGGTATCCTCTCTCTGTTTCTAGTACGATTAAGAATTCTTCTGACTATCAAATGGTGTTGTGTTCTCCTCACTAAGGACATTTCCCCTGTCACTTAGAAAGGACTGTGCTTCTGTCACATGATATCCTTTCCCATGGCTTGTAACCAAGGACCTTTAAAAGACTGGAACCAAGCTTTAAAAATGAGCTGTTTTGCATGGAAGGTCACACACTGGAGGGAGACTTTTGTGTTGGAGAACAAGGGAGAAGTGCTATTTCAGGCTTCTAATTGTGTTGCTTCTACACTGGATATGGAGTCTTACCAAAGAATATCAATCTCTCCGTTATAAAGATAGAAACCATAATACCTTGTATTGAGAGAGCGCCCATCTCTCAGGAGACCAGAACACTTCTGCGGGTATTATGTAATGAGTGCCCACAACACCCTTTCAAAGATGATGTTTTGTATCTTTCCTGGACAACTCTCACTTGACCCTATTTCTCTCTTGTTTTCATGTTTTGTGGCTCTCTTGACTTCTTTCCTTACTGTTAAAGTTCTCCCTGATTTTCTCCAAACTGTGCCTCTTTTTTTTCAGTCTTTGAGCCAGCCAGCCAAGTGCCTAAAAGAACTTGATTAAAATACAGAGGAAAATAGTTCCTTCCAGACTTGAAATAATTTAACTTAAAGTCTAGTTAAAAATTTAAAATATATATAATTAAAACCATAAGTTAATTTGCAATTAAAAATCAATAAAACACTTCCACTGACTTAAAAAGTGATTATTTCTAACTTAATTCCTTTTGTAACTAATCAAGGAAAGCTTTAAAATCAATGAATTTTTAAGACCTGTCTTTGGGCAAATTCTGGTGTGACTCTAGCAATTGGTATATAGTTATAAGATGTCAGTATAAAATTTATGGAAAACAAATGGAAATTGTGATTGACTTCTAGTATGACTATGCTAGAAGACATAAAGGAACAATAATGGTTACAATTTAGCTACCATTTACAGGGCATCTACTAGAGACCAGGTGTTTTACACATATTATGATCATTAACACAAACTGCCATGTATAATTATGTTCATTTTATAGATGAGAGAAACTAAAGCTTTAGAAGGTAAATAACCTTTCTTGCTCTCAGTCACATAGCCGTAAATTATTAAAACAAAGATTTGAACAGAAGCCCGAGTGGTTCTAAGACCAGTGATATTTCTAGCACACTGTGATGCTTCAGTGTTTGCAGATGGAAATGTTTACAATTTCAGTTCTTACGCATGTTCTGTACTCCAGGACAATAGTCCCCTCGTGTGTATCAGTCACACACCTTAATTAAAATGTTAAGTTGCTATGCTTGGCACCTCTAGAGAAGAAAGTAGGAAAATGTGTGTGTGCATATGTATGTGTGTAATTCTGAAGAACAACTTCTATTCTGTCCATCATTTCTCCTTTTCTATCCATATTAATGCCTTTAGGTATGCTTTGCTTGGATACACACACACATAAACACACACACACAATTTATGTATATATGTGATCCAGAAACTAGTTTTAAAGTGGTAATATGATTTATGATCACCAGTAATAACTGCCATTTGTTGAGCACCTACTAAGGGCCAGGCTCCTCACATTGTCTAAAATCCTAAGAATAACTTTTGAGTTATTATGTTACCTGTATTTAAAATTTTTTTTAAAAATTCAGTTTAGTTAAATATAGTATATTATCAGTTTCAAGGGTAGAATTTAGTGATTCATCAGTCTTACATAACACCCAGTGCTCATTCCATCATGTACTCTCCTTACTCTCCATCACCCAATTACCCCATTCCCCCACCCTCTCCCCTCCAGCAACCCTCAGTTTGTTTTCCATAATTAAGAGTCTCTTATGGTTTGTCTCCTTCTCAATTTTTATCTGATTTTATTTTTCCTTCTCTTCCCCTATGTCCATCTATTTTGTGATGTTACCTGTGTCCTATGAATGGAATTGAAGCTTAGAAAGGTTAACTGTTCTTCCAAAAGCTGTATCATCAGTATCTGTAAAATCATGATTTGAACTCAGGTCTTTCTGACTCCAAAATCTGCCTCTTTCCATTATTTGGGGAAGCAGAGTAGTGTTTCATGTAGAAGGACTTACAGATACTGAGTTCTCATGCCCGGTTTCAAACTTAGGGATCCACTACTTAACAGGTTTTGGTAGCTGCCCAGTTTCCCATTTGTGAAGTGGCGATGAGAATAGTACTTTATCTCACTGGCTCTGCAGAAGTCTGGGACTTAGCATGGTGACTGGCACATACTTATTTCTCAAGCAAGTTAGATACTATAATTATTCTGTTTGGGTATTTTTATCATTCCATTAGGCCATGTTGCCACCGTAAGTCAGGTCTGTGGAGAAAATAAATTAAATGTCTCTGTTCTGACAGGCAACTGGGCCCTCTCTGTGTTCGACCATGCTAGCTCTGCTACCCTCAGTCTTTCCTGGGACACAGAGTCATCAAGGATTTAATTTCTTTCTTTTATTCAGCCATAATTAGATTATGAAAGAAAGTGCTGGAAAAGTGACATGCAGCCCTGGGGCACCAGCAAGCCTCCGTCTCACAAGGTTCTGAGAACATCCTGTCAGATGAAGGAAGGCTTTTTCTCTTCAGCTTCATTAACACGAAGACAACTTTTTTTCTTCATAGTAGCAGTGTGTTTTCAGGAAAAATAGGCACTAGAGCATTTAGACTGCCTGGAACTCTAGAATAACCATCCCTCAAGATAAAAAAGACAGGTTTTCCATTATTTCCATTCATTGTTGGATTCACTGTGTTTTTAATGCTTCTCACCTTCGTCAGTTTTCCTGTAGACTTATAGGTAGGCATACCCTTTCAGCCTGCAAACAGCATTCTTTGAAAGGTCCTTCTAAAACTTTGAGACCAGCCACAGCTTTTCCACACTATATGGATACAGTGAGTCTTAGGATCTGCTGGCTTCAACTTAGCAGCTCTCAGAGGGAGAGACCAGATTTCACAACATCAAAGCTTTTCTAAGGAAGTGATTAAATAGATTAGTTGCCTTTTGTTTTTCATATTAGATTCTTTTTTTAAAAAATTATTAAATTTGAGATGCACTTTAAAACACACAGTTCTTACATGGTCATTGTGATGAGTTTTGACATTTTATAGACTCATGTAATCATCACCCAAAACAGGGCATGTATAGAACATTGTCATTCTCCCAGGAAATCCGATGGGGAATGCTCTTTGTCTTATGTTATGCCTCAGCTTCTGAGCCATGGGAGATCTTTCTTTGCCCAGCTACTCTGTCCCAGCCTTCAGAGGGCAGATGCCTTATAAAGGAGTGCCTGAATGCCTCAGAGGGGTTTTCCTCCACTCTCCTGCCCTGCTTCCCATCTTAGCAAAGTGACTTTCTTACATTTGGTAGGGGCTCTGTATCTAAGGGGGGATTTCTCTCAACTTTCCTGTCAAACCTCCCACCTTTTGTATATGACCTGTGCACTTGGCAAGACCGTGAGAAAGTTTGGTGGATGGATGCAGGCTGAGTCTAAATGCCTAGGGCTCCTTGGACTTCTGATCTGTCACCCCAGTCTACATGCAGCCATTAAAAACTCATTGAAGATTTGACTTATTTGTCCATACCTCCATCTGCAGAGGCTTTATCTTCCATGTGCTGCTCTGGCATGCACAAGGCAGCCATGGAGTTCTTCTCTCCCATGAAGGTCTTGTAATTTTTTAGAGTTTATTTAAGTTTCTCTATATCCTTATCTCTCTGGTAGATTTTTAGAAACTATGATTTTATACCTTATCCAACTTGTTGGAGAGGTTAGAAGTGGCCTTTTTTTTTAAAGTTTTTATTTAAACTCCAGTTAATTAACATACAGTGTAATATTAGTTCCAGGTGTATAGTATAGTGATTCAACACTTCCATGCAATGCCCGGTACTCATCACAACAAGTGAGCTCCTTAATCCCTATCTTCCTCCCTTCTGGTGACCATCAGTTTGTTCTCTATAGTTAAGAGTTAATTCCTTGCTTTCCCTTTCCCTTTTTTTACCCCCTTTGCTCATTTGTTTTGTTTCTTAAATTCCACATATGAGTGAAATTGTATGGTATTTGTCTTTCTATGACTGTTAAAATTTCACTTAGTATAACACTCTCTAGCTCCATCCATGTTGTTGTAAGTGCAACATTTTTTTTAATTAAAGATTTTTTTTATTAACATATAATGTATTATTAGCCTCAGGGGTACAGGTCTGTGAATCACCAGGTTTACACACTTCACAGCACTCACCATAGCACATATCTTTCCCAATGTCCATAACCCCACCCCCCCATCCCTTCTCCCCCCCCCACCCCCCAGCAAACCTCAGTTTGTTTGGTGAGATTATGTAAGTGCAATATTTTATTCTTTTTGATGGCTGAGTGCTATTCCACAGTGTGCACGTGCACACACACACACACACACACACACACATTTATATATAGCACAGCTTCCTTGTCCATTCATCAGTCAGTGGATACTTGTTTCCATAATTTAGCTATTGTAGATAATGCTGCTATAAATATTGGGGTGCATGTATCCCTTTGAATTAGTATTTTTGTATTCTTCAGGTAAATACCTAATTGTATGTTGCTGAATTGTAGGATAGTTCTATTTTTAACTTTTTTGAGGAACCGCCATACTGTTTTTTAGAGTGGCTGTACCATCTT